CTCTTAAAGCGAAAGAAACCCCAGTAGGTAGAATAGAATAGAATACAATACCAAACGTAAACTACTTATCTGTCTGTGCTATGGGTAGCCAGCTGGCATACGTAATAAATTTCGATAGTTCAGTCTGCATGGCCATGGGCGTAGGAAGATCGATATTTGGGGGGGCTCATATTCATATATTCGTGTTCTGCATCATTACTTCTTTTGAAATTGATTGCTTTATGAATATATGAATATGAGCCCCCCAAAATACCGATCTTCCTACGCCCATGGCCATGCAGACTGAAATCAGGGGCGGCGCTACAGGGGGGGGTGGAACACCCCCCCCCCACTCGTCAGCTAATCGGCAAATTGTTATCTCAGTCGGCAAAACTGGATTGGCTAAAGATAACCACTGAAAAAAACAAAATTGACCTCTTGAATAATTGAATTCAAACCGAATGTCACGAATAGCATGCATCAAAGAAACCACATGCAGCAATGCAAATTTTTTCGAATACAGTATCTTCACTTCTGGTAGCTAGTCCAAAAACATAATATTATTGAAATCATAATTAGGTAATTAAATTTGTTTGGTGTTTGGTGGTTGTTGTTGTTGTTGTTGTTGTTGTTGTTGTTGTTGTTGTTGTTGTTGTTGTTGTTGTTGTTGTTGTTGTTGTTGTTGTTGTTGTTGTTGTTGTTGTTGTTGTTGCTTATTATACTGTTCTATAAAAGAGGCAATAAAGACGGTTTTACACTAGCGAATTTTCTCGCACGAAGCGACCTTTTCCTTTGTCGGTATCACTTATTACGTCAGCAAGACGTGGCAAAATCAGTCCTCGAAAACGAGGTCGGCATTCGGCAATGCCGGGTTAAATGCAAATTTTTGCCCACCTTAATTCAACCAAAGTAAGAATTTTTATGCTGATAGCTTTTAAAATGTCAGCGAATTCGATTAACTGGACACACTACGGTGTAAGGTTTAAAAACTGACGGGTATTGTGTATATACGTTAGATGTTTGAAGATCAAATTTCGCGCGTCTGGAGTTAAAATTTGGCTCCAACTTTCGAATTTTCCGGCTGGAGGTAACGTTCCAGTTATATTCCGATTTCAATGATTCGTAAATGCGTGATTAATAGTGCTCCAAGACGTGGAACAGATTTTAAGAAATGCCGAGATGTGCCGACTTAGGTCAGACTTATGTGCCGACTTAGGCCCTCTTTTGCCGACCTCAATTTTGACGGTTTTGACTTTTCGAGGGCTGCAAAGTGGATGCTGACAAAGGAAAAAGATCGCTTCGCGCAGAAAAATCCGCTAGTGGAAAACAGACTTAATAGAGGGTAATAAAGCGCATTTAAACATGCACATTTACTATAGATGGCCCTGAAGGGGTAAAATGGGAACTGGGATTGATCTATTTTTAGACTGGGAAAATGGGATTTGGGTTGCTGGGACTGGGATTTGGCCACTGGGAAATGAAGTCCTCAAAAATGGGAATGGGATTGAAGGAATGTGAGTCGATTCCCAATTTTGATCCGTTTTTGGTGTCTTTAGTCATGATTTTTGTTGTTAACTATATTATTCACAGCATTACCTGCGAACAGGCATACTCTGGCGCCTGGAATTTTGGGTTTTCTGATTATGCGTGTGTCAGAATGATGCACATGCCATTTCCGGGATTCAAATTTAAAAATTTTCCGTGCCTTCGGCAGACATGGCGGGTGACGTGCAAGTCAAGAATAGAGAAAATGTAAAAATCAGTCCAGTCCAACTGTCCAGTCCAGTCCAACTGTCCAGTCCAGTCCAACTGTCCAGTCCAGTCCAACTGTCCAGTCCAGTCCAACTGTCCAGTCCAGTCCAACTGTCCAGTCCAGTCCAACTGTCCAGTCCAGTCCAGTCCATGTTTTGTACTATGCCTATTAAACTCTACCAAATTTAATTTTATTTCGTTAATTAAACACTTCTGAGATATTAATAGACTTACTTTATTTTTCTGCCATATGAGCGCAAATATACAAAAAGAGCTGTGAATAAATTGTTTTAGGCCATTCACAATTTTCAAGGTACTTTCAAGTGACGAATAACATATTTGCAATTTGGGGAATAAAATAAGAAAATTCGTGTCATGTGCACTTTAAATCGTGGTAACTCTAGCCCGGCTTAAAGTTTTCATGATGGTGGGCAGGGGACCGGAGATAGGGGGTGGGGGTGTGACCCCTCCCCCCCCCCCCAGGAATTGTATTCAGTCGACAGGACTGCTATTCAGTCAGTAAGACTGCTGTTTGGGTTAAATATTTTCGCGCAAAGGGCAAGATAGAGGTTGTTGGTCTCCGAAAAATTTTCTCACCTGGGCTCCCGTCAACCTCTCGGCAGCCAGTCGGGTGCAGGGCAGTAGAAAAAATGAGTTATATTTACAAAAATTGCGAATATTCTAGAAATTTTCGGAATTTTCGAAATTTTTTTTTAATAAATGGAGAAAATTTTTGATGTCCGGAAATTTTTTTGATGTTCCGAAAAATTTTGATATGTCCGGAAAAATTTTTAAAGCCCTGAAATGGTTCACCGACCGGGAGGTCGCCAAAAATAATTTGTACTGGTCGGTTGAAATGTCAGGTACTGGTCGGTTGAAATGACCTTACACCCCCCGGAAGAATTCCCTGAGGACGGCCCTGATGGTGGGTAATTTTTAGGGGGAAAAAAACAATTATCCAGCCCAATGCTTTGCCTTTGGTTTGGTTAAACTACCGACTTCAGTGATGCAGTATTCAGATTCCATGCATAGGAATTGCAAACTAGCAAGTCCACTGTTTCAATATCTATATTTTTCTTTCTGGAAAGTAAGTTGGTGTTAATTATAGCCATTTACCTACCACTGAACAAAACCCTAATAGACAGTCTGGTTACACCATAGATTTTAATTAGTAGTTATGTGGTCAGAGCCTTGCACAAGAATCGCATGTAGGGGTGCCTGTAGTAGTGCATGTTCGATCTCTGGAGATCTTGAAAGTAAAATGGTGGTGACTCCAGTAGTTGCCACCATAGTGGGTTATTTTTGTAAAGAAATAAGTTATCCAACAAATCTATACCTTGGTTAAACCACTGAACTCAATTGCTCACTTCATTTCATCACACCTGACCATTGAAAAGCTGTGAAACATCGCAAACACAAAATGTAATTCCTGGTTTAAGAAGACTAGATTGATAAAAAAGCACTCCAATTAATTAAACTAAAAGAATTAATCGAACTAAAAGCAATAAAGGAATTCGAAGACTCAATATTTCAGGAAGTTGAGTTAAGTTATCAGCCTGTATTACCCTGATACCATGAAGACAACATTTGGTGCATGGTTTTGTTTGTGTTTTGCTCATGAACTATTAATCAGTTTGAGAAGAATATTTATATATCAAACTATGAAAGTGAACAAATATATATTATAAAATAAATTGACAAAATTCTATAACAGGGGCGTAGGAAGCTTGTAAAAGGTGTGGGTTGCCACGTGGCGCCACCATGGTTGGCGCCGAGCGTGAAAAAATTTGAAAATTTTTGAAGTCTCCATGCAGATCGTCGGAAATGGCATTTTCAGGGTCTTCTTTAGCATTTTCGTTAAGCTCTTTCAAATTCTGTCATTATAAATATGTTCACTTTATGGTTTGTGACTGCATTAGATGATAACTACTTGAGCAAGTAAATACCGCTGCCTAACAAGCAGCAAAAACATCCAATAACAAAAGACAAGATAAAATGTTGCTTTTAAAATAACAATAAACAATTTTCAAATACTCAATATGGAAATGTGTTCCTCTGCACTTGATAGGGGTGATGCAATGGATGTAATAAATTTGGACTTCAGAAGAGAATCCGATTTAGTCCCCCCCTCCAAGGGTTGCTGAATAAATGGATGCTTGTAGAATTTCTGGAAATATTACAGCATGGCATGGGCTTTGCAGCTTTTCAGAAAATATAAATAATTTTTTGCTTCTGAATAGAACCAGGTGCAAAGCGTAAAGAACAAGATAGTGTTTTGGGTCCCTTACTCCTCCACCTCATCTATATAAGTTTTTATTAGGCTTAGTTGACGGTTTGGCTGAAGATTCTAGTTAATTTAAGCAGTTAAAACCTGGCAGATGCGGTTACGATAAAAAATCGGAAGCAAGAAATATGCAACCCCCCCCCCCCCCATAACCCTCCAAAATGTTTCGTCATTCTTATTTTGTGGTTTCATAGTAGGCAGGCCCCCTCCCCCCTCCCATTAACAAATACTTTGGGAAGATTGCGACGGGGAAAACATTTTATTGGTCGGGCAATTCCGATACCATCGAGAAAATGTTTATCAACCCTGATCTCATATACAATAATAACTATTAACCAATATCAATACCATCTTCACGCCAAATCATTGACTACAGTTCCTAGGAATAACGATAATCAACTAAAATTTAACCGTCATTCTGCTACAGCCAGTTAAAAAGCAAATGGTGTCCTGGCTCGTATACGAGGAGAAGTACAGCCACGCGAAAACAATTACTAAATTATTCATTGGAATCGTGAGACCCTTGTTGGAATAATTATGCATGAAAATTTATTTGGCATGCAAGATTTGCAATGTTTTTATTTTAGTGCAGCCCGTACCATATCGAAGCCATAATTTATCTCAACACTCTTCGCCAAATTCAAACTAACTTTGTCAAGTTATTTTGAACTTAATCAAACTGTTAAGCAGATTGAGCGACTTGACACGAAATACATAATATGCCAGTACTATACTTACTACTCTGTAACAATTACTCGAAGCGTTTTAAAATCCAAATCATTCTTAGACTTTTTGATAATCCTGAATTTGACAACTGAAACACCATTTAAAAGTGCTTGTTAATGTTAAGTAATGTTTATATCTTACAGACTTTCTGTGTTCGTATTTTGCGACGTTTTGTTGTTGTAAAACTTGAATATCTGCCGTACCACATGCACCGAGACCTATACACGAGATTTTAACGCATTCGGCCTTGCGGGCGGCTTCGCTGACAGTGCATGTGCGACATAAGCAATCAATAAACCAACTTAACTTCGTATACAAATTTTATTTCAATGTTTATTTACACTTTTCAAAGAAAGGTTCTCTTCAGTTAAATAGTGAGATTCAGATTTGACGTCCACCACCGCAAGGGACCATTAGCCAATCAGATGCGTTTGACAACCGATTAACCAATCAGATGTTTATGAAGTCAGTGAGAGGTAGTGGTAGTCAAATCTGAACCTCTCTAATAATATAGTTTTTAAAAGTGTAAATAATCAATGTAAAATTGGAATTTTCATACCAAGTTAAATTGGTCTGTATAGAGATACGACCATCAAAGTATGACTACATGTTGAATTAACCAGAAGGAAACAATTTATTACAAAGAATTACATTTCATACGCTAGATATATAATTGTCCTTCGACAATGACCAAAGTAGCATTAATTGTTAGCTGGAGATTATTTTATCCAAAAAGAAGCTAATTGTACTCAGTCTTGGGGCACCTCAGTAAAATTAGCATGTTGAGAGAATATACGTAGTTTTCCACGAAAATAATATTGTTCATGAATTTGGTTAAGTTTATGAACACATGTATGCAACATGCTCCAAACAATCAATGCCGCTGTGTATGTAGATTTGACTACATGCGCATGCATGCAAAACAACAAGAAGAAACAATATACCTCAACACTTTGCGAGGTGCAAGTTTAGATCGCTAACATATTCTGATGTGTTGCTGCAAATCTAAGTTGTTACAACGTTTTCGACTAAAAATTCCGTCATGCGAATTTTTTGTATAATCATATTTTCAGCTTTGTTACATATTTAAGCTGGAAATGAAACTTGTGGTGTTATTACCTTCATTGCATTCTAAATTATTATCAAAAATTTGAAATTCATTATATTAACTTATATATTTTTCAGTGTTATTAAGTGTAATTGCTAAGATGATAACATCTAAATTCAGGTATTTTTGCTTAACGTGCTTTTCTAATTTTTTTTTGTAAACATCAGGAACTTTAACCCATATTCCTGCTTTTTTTTAGTTTTTATTTACTTTTTTATTTTTATTTTTACATTAATCTTCAGATGATGATCATCTTATATTTTATGTTTTTGTTTTCCTCTTTTCTTTCTTTTTTTTAGTGCACATGAATACAACAGAATTTGACTCACTGTATTTTAACGTGCGTTTTCTATAATTATCACGAACGATGATAATCATGTGACCCCAATTACTTATCCCTATTGAGTATTTTTTTTTTTTACTTTTATCTTTTCTTTTTATCTTTCCACTAATTTTGTTGAAACCTTTTATCAACATTTTTTTAAATTTTATTTTTTTAAATTGACGCCATGTATTCCAGTGGTTACCGGATCACTGATCTAAATCCAGAACTGGATAGAGCATTATTTGGGGAAGAGAATTTTAGACGGTAAAATGATGAAACTGTTATATGTTTAAGCATGCTTCTTTGCCTATACGCGTGTTTCCCACATCAATTTTAATGAGCTTTAAGACGCTATAAAATGACTCGAGGCAGCCAAACTGGTGTGACCTCATCAGTTACTCTCTTGAGGCCTCTGATGATCTATTTCTATATGCTTGTTCTCATCAATAATCACACATTGCCAGAACCAGCTTCTAATATGTGACAAAAACCATATTAGATTTGCTGTGCTCAACCATTATAGCCACCAATGGTTTCATCAAACAGATGCACTACCCAGACCAAGTTTTTATATCAGTGCATGGCATATATTAATTAAAGGTGGTTTTCACCTTACGTCATCGCCGTCACACCTAGTCCCGTCTTGGTGGGACGGCATTATGTATAAACAAGGTGTCTTAGAAAGATTTTTGTGTTAGTTACAGTAAATAAAGTGCACCTTGTATTACGGCTTTTATAGTGCCTGTTTAGGTCTATTAATCTTTATGCCGTTCAATGTCCATCCTGGTCAGTTGGGATAACTAGCCTTCATATGGAAAATTTTATCCCACTTGACTAGTGCAAGGTGAGATGTCACCTAGCAGGGCTGGCTTGTTTCTGGTATGAACAGAAACAGTGTGCTTCTACAAAGGTCATGCAGTTTCCCTTAGGTCAGTTTCACTTAGCCCGTTTAGCTCGGTTCATATGAACAGGCCCTTAGAATTATCTACAGTATACCATTAAAAATATTACTTACTTACGTTGTAACTAGGCATTTGGTTTATCCAAATATATGTGAATTGGCTAAGAACAAAGTCGGCCAAAAATAGTTTCACTATTGTCTTAGTAAAAGCGCTTTCCATATTCCGTCCAATTTAGTTGGTATAGTCAATGATGTAGTAGGGATAAGCTTGACTGCGTTCGAAGACGACAAAGATGGTAGGTTTCACTACATTATTTACGCATGAGTCATGCAAAGGACTCAGAGTGTCGGAAGGATCTTTCGGAGGTGGCCTCTGAGTCTCGTACGAGCCCACGACATACGAGCCCACGATCACTTTGGCCATGAATACACTGTAGTAGCTTTGCACAGTTTGAGCGGAACTATACCTATGGGAATACGAGGCCTCTACGGCAAAATAACTACCCTTGCCGTACCTTGCTCCGTGTTTTGAACCGCTGAGACGCCAATCGAAACCTTGTTGACAAATTGGTTCCACAATATCTTTCCTCGTACCGTGAAATAGCCAGCGTTCTTCGGGGGTCTGGTCCGAATTCTTCTTGGTGATTCTTAATTTTTTCCTGATATGAAAACAAGAATTCGGTTTGGAGAAATGGTTTTATTAATTATGCGAAACGTTTTTCAAATTCTTTGAATGCACACGTACCGCTGAATTTCAACCGGTAGCTGACCTTTGCAATACAATATAATAAATACTCAACTTAAATTTGTGTTTCCTCACCGCATCGTAACAAGAAGTCGTCTCGGTTAATTGATCATAAAATGTCAAGGATGAGATTATAATTTATCGATTGCTGCGATTAGTATATGCTCCGAGTAAGTCGCACTTTCGTACGTTAAGGCCCGTTTACACGGGCGATTTTTGGCAGCGATTTCCTCCCTTTGGAGGATGTGAAGGAGTGGGTGAATGAATGAGGTTATGAAATCTCATAACAACATCATTAAGTAATTTACTCCTTCACATCCTCCAAAAAGAGAAAATCGCGGCAAAAAATCGCCCGTGTAAACGGGCCTTTAAATATTATATTTAAAATAGCAAAAACGTGAGTGTGTGAAAAATTCCATTCCTTGAACGTCTACCGAAAAGCAAACTCGTGCCAGTCCATTGCCGCATCACACAACTACTAGCGCGCGACGAGTGCCCATGAAATAAACGCCCTGGCTGGGAAATTAAATACAAGATGCACATTTTTGGAAGGGTTATATATTTTACACTATCGCAGTTCTCTG